GTTCTCATCAGGTTGGCCAGCCTGCTGGGAAAGAAGGTTTTGCCCCACTTGGCAAGGTGGATCTTGCCTCTTCCTAGCAGTCCTCAATCCTCCAGGAGGATCCCATAGTTGTAAAAGCAAGTCCCTGTTGTCAATAAGCTGTGCAACTTGTTTTTTGACCTGCCAGATCTCTCTACTCCTCTCCCAGCAGTCCCCCTCAGTGGTAGAATCTAGGAGAAGACAACTTGGGCTCCCTGTCTGCTACCTGTCAAGGAACAGCAAGAACTATAGTGTCAGCAGAGGAGATTCAACGTGCCTGTGACAGCAGCTGAGACACTGACCCAGGTTGTCCTAACTGTAGTAGTCATATTCAGGGAAAAAAACCCCAAACTCTGCCAGCCAGGTCTCAAGTGCAGTACAACACACTCCAACCACACAATCAACTGTTTCATCTCAGGGAAGGGGAAAAGAGCAGCCAGAGAACAGGAACATTTTCAACCACTTTGAGGGACTATCTGACCATTCCTTAAGTTGGGCAGCTCCAGCAGGCAACCAGAACACAGCCTGAAGTAGAAAAGCAGCGGACAAAAAAAAAAAGGAAGAGATTTCATTCCCACTAACTGTTCCAGTAACTCTGACTTTTGCTTATAAATTAATGTGAAGAAAAGACCCCAGACAGCAGTGCTGCTGTTTTCTCCAAGCTATAAAGATGAGGACTTTTTTGTACAATACGTTTGAAAACATCAAAATATTATGTAGTTTCTTAACAAGACTGAAAAGAAGCTTTAAACCCCAACATACTTTTTGTTAGTTTGGATTTAAAATCTTTAAATTACAGCTGTGTGGGAGGAACTTTTCTGTCCCTCCATCTATTGTTAAGATGTCATTTGGGGTTCCCAGAGAGTTGAGGCTGCTATGAAACAAGCCAGTCCTTTGCTCTCCCTCTGTCCTTCTTCTCTTTGAGTATCCCAAGGAGTCTGCCATCATGCCATGCTCCACCACCCCATCCCTGCCACAGGCACAGGGCTGACAACGTGTAGGGGCAGCACTTCCAAGGTGTTCCCCACCACATGGATCCAGTGCAGGTGACAGGGAGCAGCAGGGATGGGAAAGTGGCAGCAGCTGACACCCCTCCTCTCCCTCAGGGGATGTGAAAAAGATGCTGGAGAAAAAAAAAAAAAGCATAGGAAAAAAAACCCAAACCACAAAAGAACGAAGACCCACTCAGTTCTAGTCTTGTGTGTTTAGGTGGCTTCAGATGAGAAAGGCAGGTGTGCTAAAAATAATTCCATGAGGTCAGATGTTTAGGAGCATGATTACAGGGAAGTGCCAGGATCCCTGGAGAAGGCAGCTAGGTAAGCTTCAGGCAAAAATGTTACAGCAAAATTCAGAGGAAGGCATTAAGAATGTCATGTTAGTGATCTCTTTTTTACCTTGCTTAATACCAGAAGGAAATATTTATTCAGTGATTTTTTACACCTGCCATATGACTCAGTGCCAGAAGTTCATTCTTTTTAGATCAGTTCTGAATTCTCACAGACTCATTTAGAGAACCTTCCACTATCTACATCAATCTACATCCCCTCACACCAGCACGCAAGACAAGAGTTTGTATTTAATGCAAGTGTATTTTTCAGAACCACAATTAATCTTGATCTAAATGTTTACATGATAGGGAATCCAATCCTTCCCTTTGAAGTTTGTGCTTCAGTGTTTGACTAAAATCACAGTTATGATCAATCCTACTGAGAGAATCCATGAAAGCAATAACGCCCAAGACGTTGCTTCACCCCTCAGTTGGACTTCTCTCCAGTAAATACACTTGGGGTTTTCCCTTGCCCCAACCTCATTACACTTTTAATTCAAGAAAGGACTAGCACGTGCAACTCATTAGGAGTCAGAGTAAATGGCAAAATAATCCTTCTTGCTCCCAAAAGAGCAGCGCAGGCTCCTGTTATGACAGAGTGACCCAGATTGTTTGGCAGGTGAATTATTCCACAAGAAAATAAGTTCCCAGCTATTTCAAAGAAAATGATGCCCAAGAGGACCCAGCAAATGATGCCTTGTCCACAGAGACAGTCCAACAAGGAGGAGTTAAGGCCCACCTGCTGTTCCCAGACAGAAACTCAGTGATCACTGTTTCATTGACCTGCAGGGGAGTGCACTTCCTAACACCTGAACTGATGAGACAACTGATAATTGTTTTCTTGTAGGGCTATTACAGTGGAAACTAAATCTTCTGAGCTGCTTTTGAGGGTCCTAAATTTTCCACAGACATTAAACAAGTATAAAGTGCACACAATTTTCAGCCACTTTTGTACAGTGTTATCTGAGCCAGGAAAGCTAACAAATATATTTATTTCTTTGTCTTACCATTAGCTTGAGGATTTCAAAGTAAGTTCTAAGGACAGATGATATTGCTAAGATAAGTTAACAAATTGTTTCACTGAGGTACACAGGGAATCTCTGGAGACCTGGGAACAGAAGCCAGATCATGAGAATCCTGAAGCGTTTTCTAGCCAGTAGGAAACACTGCTTAATTAATTTAGTTAATATTTACACTCTGCATAGGAAAACAGAAATATTTAAATGACTCCTAATCTAATGAAACTGTGCTAATGACCTGAGCTAAGGACTTGTGATATTACTGAAGATTTGTGAGTTAATTAGAAAGAAATCCAAGAAGTCTGCAGATCACTTGATAGAAAGACAGATGCTCACCATGATGATAACCAAGCTCAATTCATTAAAAATGAGGTCCCAACTTACTTGTGATAGACCTAAACCAAAAATAGTAATTAATGACACAGATATCAAATGTATGGGAAGAACATAAGTGGAGGATCTAAGCTATATAGCTCAGTCTGAAGCAATCTCAGCAAGAGAAACATTTTTAGAGCAGCACTTGGTGTCCTCAACAGAGAGCCCATCAGTAGCTTCATTATTTCGTTAGCAAAGCTACCTGCCTTGATTAATCTTCACAGGCAGGTGGTATTTTAGAGAGAAATGAAGTGTACTGCAGCTCACAAGTGAACCTCTCCTTTCACAAGGGATTTAAGTTACTCATAAAATCTGCAGGTTGAGGAGCTCTAAGCATTGCAGGCAGAAGAAGATTAAGGGCTATGATTCAGGTGATGCATCTTTTAAGTCTGGATCTTAAGCTTTTTCCACAAATGCAACAACCTCTGGGATTAGGAAATACTTCTGTCATGCTCAACCTTAATTTCAGATACCTCTTGGAAGTGTGAAAGTCTTAGTGATGTAGCCAGATAGCACCAGTGCCAGGATCAGGGCTCTCCCAGTTCCTCTGGTGACTGATAATTGCAGCTGCTGGATGTTTGGTTCATGGGATCACTCAGGTTGGAAGTGACCTCCAACCTCCTGCCCAAAGCAGGACCAGCCATGAGTTCAGATCAGGTTGCTCAGGACTTTATCCAGACAGGTCCTGAAAAATTCCAACAACAACTGCACAACTTCCCTGGCCAGCCTCTTTCACTGCCTAACAATCCTCATGTTAAAAAGGGCTCTCCAGCCTGCACCTCTGCTCCTAATGACACCAGTTGTCTCTTCTGCCACACACCACTTTGCAGAGTCTGATCCATCTCCTTCTAGGTGGCCAGAGCTGCTGTTGAGGTCACCTGAAGCTTTCTCTGCTCCAGTCTTGCTCAATCCCATGTCCCTCACTTCTCAAGCCACCCCACCATCTTGGCAGCCCTCCACTGAAGTTGCTTGAATTAATCAATGTCTTCCTTGAATGGGAGTGCCCCAAACTGGACACTATTCTAGATGTAGTCTAACAAGTGCTGAGCAGAGGGGACAACTGCCTCCCTCTACCCACTGGCTGTGCTCCTCTAAATGCAGCCCAGGCTGCTGGAAGCCCTCTGCCCTGCCATGGCACATTGCTGGCTCATGTCTGCCTTGCTGTCTTCCAAGATGCCCAGGCCCAACTCAGACAGCTGCTTCCCAGATGATCAGTCCCTAGCCTGTATCACTGCAAGAGGTTAATACTGCCCCAGAGCAAGACTTCATATGTTTTATGCTTGAATTTCATGAGGTTCCCATGGGCTCATTTCTCCATGCCTCCCTAGGTCCCTTTGACTTGCAGATCCAGGGTACCAACTGATCCCATGTGTCTGGTGTCACCCAAAAACCTGATGGGAGTGCATTCTCTCACCTCCCACTGGTCACTGATAGAGATGCCAAGCAGGAAAGGTCCTTGTGCACTGTGGTACACCAGTGACTGTCCTCTGAGACCAATTACCTAAACTGCTTTGGGTTTTTTCTACCCATCCAGTTATCCACCCAGATCACAATGTCCTGGACAGCACACAGCTTTTGGGATCCAAATACTGACATAGGTATCAAGTCAATCAAACACATGCAAAATCCTTGAGCTGCCCAAGAAAACTGGCATAGAACACAACATCAGCTTCTTACATGTGCTCTGTAAAATCTGAAGCACCATTTAAGAAAGTCAGATATTAGCAAATCTTTGCTACTTTATAACCCAACTGCATGGACTTAAATGAAATGATGGCATTAGATGAGGACAAGAAAATAGGAAAAGGTTTACACTAAGTTCAATGAATGGCACCATGTTAATGACATAATCCAACAAAATGTGATACATTCTGAAACTGTCAACAAATTGGAATAATTTTAGCCTTTAACTTAAATATGTGAAATAAAAAATGCAACATAGGACTTAGCCCCACAAATCCATTTTCAAAGAATTTGAAATTGGTCTCCTGACCAATGAGCCTGTCACCTCTGCTCCCACACCAACCAGGTCCTGAGAACTGTTCATGTTCTGCTGTATTTTTACAAGACATGTTCAACAAAAAAAGACACATGTATTGGACAGCTGGAGAAAAACTAAATTGCAGGTGGGAAAATTGTCCATTGGGCATTGTGATCTGAGACATTTTCAAAAGGCTGTTGTATTTAAACTCAGTTACAAAATTTTATTTAGTTAAAAAAAAGAAAAAGACATGTATGCACTTGAAGTAGAGAAGACTTACTGTGTCGTGTTGCCTGTTATCTTTCCCTGATATAATCAAGAAGTAGTTCCATGCCAGCAGCAACAACAAAGCCAGTGGAATCATGTAGAGCTCAAAGTTCCAGACCACAAAAAGAAAAAGCTAGAAAACAGAGCAGGGAAAAAGAAAAAGAAAAGAAAAAAAAAAGGGATTCAAATCAGCATCACATTAAACATTCCTTAACAGTGAAGACCAATGAATTACAACAATTCCAAAGAAACTCTCTTCTCCTTAGGCAGGGAAGTTGTTTGACCACTTTGCTGACTGGCCACTTACCTGCATGAAACAACTACTGCACTTTTCCTTGCTGCAAACCTTAATTCTTGCAAAGGGGAAAAACAGTGTGGTCTAGGAGGGGTAACAATTGCTCTCTTGTAAAATAATGCTTATGTGGACCAAGCAATGCAAAGTGGCATGAAATTAAGACCACAAAGTCAGAAATAAAAGGTTATTTATTTCCCTGGGTATAAATTAGTTCTGAAGAAACAACTTGCTCAGTAATGTCACACAAACAAGAAGTAAATATGACAAGTAAAACCTGAAAAAATCGTTTGCAAAGAAAACCAGCAAAAAAAAAAAAATCACACCAAAAGGCAAAAATGTACAACTATTTTAATGAAAAAATGGAAAACCAGTACTTTTTATCATGGAAAATGGGCTTCAGAGGTATGCTGGCAAGCATACCTAGGTCCACCCCTTGGCAAACTGTGGTTTGTGGCAGTTTTTCCCTGGAAGCCCCAAGGTGCTGCGGGGCTGGTGGGGCAGAGGCTTGGCCAGGCTGTGGCTCCTGGTGACCTGACTGGCATGGAACAGGGGCACGGGGGCATCCTGACCCTGCTGACAGCTCTGTGCACATCAGCTCCCTGCTCTGGAGCTCTGAGAAGCTTCACAGATTGGACTTCACCCTCAGACCCATCCGGAGGTACCGAGCTGACCTGTGTTGAAGCCTGGAAGTCCTGAGCATCTGTCAGAGCCTGGAGGGGCCTGGGAGAGATACATCCAGCCAGATACTCTTCCAGATTTACTGGTTTGCAGGAAAGAACTGAAAACCTTTGGAGTAAGATATATTTTGGAGTAAAAGCATGTTTTACAGCAACTTTCCAGTACCTGAAGGGCCTACAAGAAAGCTGGGGTAGGGTTTTTTACACGGGTGTGTAGTAGAGAGGACAAGGGGCAATGGGTTGAAGCTTAAAGAGGGGAGATTCAGGTTGGACATTAGGAAAAAGTTTTCTGCTGTGAGGGTGGTGAGAGCCTGGCCCAGGTTGTCCAGGGAAGCTGTGGCTGCCCCATCCCTGGCAGTGTTGAAGGGCAGGTTGGATGGGGCTTGGAGCAGCCTGGGCTGCTGGGAGGTGTCCCTGCCCATGCAGGGGGTTGGAATTACATGATCTTTAAAGTCCTTTCCAACCCAAACCAGTCTGTGATTCTATTATTAGATGGGGTCAAACTAAAACCATATTTACATCTAGTTTTCCCTATATACAAATACCCCTTTCTTTTTAACCAGCTCTAGCTGTAACTTGGGTTTGTTTCCTTTCTAATAGAACAAAAAACAAGAAAGGAAGTTTTACAGCAAGTCACACTATGTACCACAGCAGGGCATACACTCAGAAATCTTACTAGGCCTTTTTAGCTAAGCTTTAGAATATTTGTGTCTTTACTACCTAGTAAAATCAATGAAGGTGTTGTGCTAGACCACTGGCAAATCCAAAGAAATTCTAATATATAGGCAAAGTAAAAAGAAGTTCACTTTCCCCAGTCAGTTCCTATGATGTATTTAAACCCAAGTAAGAAGAAAATAAGGAGTTAAATTGTCTTCTGCTGGACTTCCCTTCAGAGTTAAAACAAAATGCTCTAGTCATACACAAGCTTCCACATAAAACAAAAAAACCCACACAAAAACAAACCTTAAAACCTGTATTTTAAGTAACCTGCTGCCTAAAGATGAGCTAACTTTGCCTCACCTCCCTACTTTCTAACACTGAATGCTGTGTATGGAAATCCTGTGAGACCGTAGAAGACAAACATGATAAACACTGAAAGAACTGAAAAAGCAGTGTGTGTGACATATATATTGGGGCATATTGGCACTTCTAACAGCTAATATTTCGTTTGAAAGAAGACTGTCTTTTTTAGGTTGTTTAGTTTAAAAGGAATTCTGTTAGAAATGGTAATGAACAAGAAGCAAATGGCAGCTCTCAGAATTTGAGAGTTCTTGCATGAGTTTGCTAAGTTCTGTGGGGATTTGATGCAGTGAATTTGATCTGGCCAACTTTACAACAGAATTCACATCTCAAAAGAAAGGCAAAAATTCCTTTCACCCTTTAATCCCAGAAATGCCCTGAGCCAATGGGCACTTGTTGAAGGGAGATTAACTCCTGAGAAAGGGCAATTTCCTATTTATGAATCACAGAACCACAGAAGAGTTGGGGTTGGCAGGAACCTTCAGTGCTCATCAAGTCCAATCCCCCTGCCATGGGGACATCTTCAACCAGATCAGGTTCCTCCAAGCCCCATCCAACCCGGTTATTTCCAGGGAGGGGACATCTCTTGGGCAACCTGTGCCAGTGTCTCACCACCCTCAGTGTAAAGATGTTCTCTTCAGCTTCATTTCCATCTTGTCTGGCTGAATTTTAACCAGTTCCTCCATTCAGGCACCTGTCTCAGCCAGAGACCAGGAAACCAAGGGCTTTCCATTTGCAGCAGAAATGAGGTGTGTGCGATGTGAGGCCACCACAGTGATGGCACTGCAAGCACAGGGGAAAAAAATCCAGAAAAGCTAAGAAACAAGTATAAAAAGGGCACCTCCAGGACTTCCCCCTGTCCATAAAGCATCCAGTGGAACATTGACTGCATCTGGTATGATCTCTTCCAAATAAACAGTGGCTCTAATGTATAAAAAAAGGATCCTCATCACTACTGAAACAAGCCTGAAACTATTTTAAGAGAGAAGTGGGAGTCTCAAAGGTTACAGTTTAATATAGCTGCCATTTCCTACACAGAAGAATATAAGGGAGGACTTTTTTCTTCTCCCTCATGAGATCAAGATTTTCAGAGTCACTGGCATGAACTGGCCATTTAAAACATCACATCAGTTGATACTCTTAGTGAGAGACACATGCATTAAATGATCATTCAGGGAGACACATGATACTATCCCTGGTGTACAACACTTCAAAAAATAATTTAAGTTAGAATATTGAATATCCTATTCTTTTGCAAACTGCAGTATATTTTAAAAAGAAATCTCATCCAAAATGATTAACACTTCCTACTGTTCAGAAAAAAAGCCTGCCCTTTCAGACTAGCAGCTGTGGATCATTAGCTTTCCAGTGATGAGATGTGTTTGATGAGTATTTTTCTTTCTAATTAAGAGATGAGATTCTCTATTTGACTCTCTCTTCAGACAGAAGTGAAGAGAAAGATTTCTGCCTATGTGGAAAGGCCATATTCTACAGAACAATTATTTCAGATTTCTTTTTACCTACCTCCACCCAATTTAATCTCCTTTTTAACAGAACCCTGTTCGCACCCACAGATTCACAGCATTAACCCCTGCATTTCCCAGCTCTTTTTATTTTCCCTTTTGCTTCTCTTTTGGCTGCCAGCAGAGATGAGTAAAATCCTGCATGGTGTTTACATTATGAAAACACTTCTCCTTGTACCTTGGAGAGTCAGTAGCCTCTCCCATTTCAAAATGAGTTACCACTGGTGACCATGGCTCCTCACCTTGTATAACACTACTATAAACAAAATTTAAAAGTATTTGCTTTAGCTGTATCAGATCCCAAACACACCTGAGTGCTAGAAGAAGGTGCAGTCTGAAAGATGTGAGTCTAAAATACATTATCAGTTACTCAATTTCTTTGAACAGGCAACAGTCAACTTGAAAAGAGCAAAAGTGTGGAAAATGAAAAAAAAAACAAACCAGAAAAATATTCAGGTCATTCCCACCTGAATTATTTTTACAGATTTCCAGTGGAACCTTGGGTTAATGTTGGGTTTTAAATGTCTGAGATCTTGGTATTCTGAGAAATGCTGAGTAATTGTTATTTTTTAATCTAAAGAACTTTTCCTTTGACTAAGACACAAACCTATAGGATGTCCTGCATTTACTCTCTCTTCACTGGAATTAGAACAGTCCAGCTCACTAATATTTAGAGAACAAAAGCAATCTTATTCTCTGTATTTAGATCAACAAGTAGAAAAGGGAGATACTTCCACAATAAGTAAGATCTTAACAGACTGGCTGAGGAACTATTTTTATTTTAGACGCAGTCTTGATGAAGTTCTTCATGTCCTGAGACATCTATGGTAGCTCTTGTTCGAACATTTGGGTCCTAAATATAGATGAACACTCAGAAAAAAACCTCCCATTTCTCCTCAGGTAGGACTTTTCATTCTGCTCATGTCTTTTCATTCTCAATAACCTGTACCACAAACTCATGGTCCTGTTTCACCCCACTTCTTCCATCTGAGTGTGATGAACCACCAGTTATTCAAGAAACAAGTCTGACAATTCGAGGTGACTCACTTGATGTGCTGCAACCCACCTGGGATTGTTTTGGAAACACATCTACAGCTAGACAGATTTATTTCATCTGAACAACCTCCATGATGACACCACCATCCAATCACACCATCATGTCAGACATCTGAGCCTGTACAAGATTGTCAGCACCAATAAAACGCCCTAGTTAAAAGCTCTGAAAATTTTCATTCAATTTTTGTTTACTTTTTTTCCTTACAACTTTTAACTGACGTTTGAATTCACTTTCCAGAAGTTCTATGACTCTGCTTCGAGAATGCTGACCCCAGGGCATGAATGCAGAGTCATTTTAAAGAGCACATGAACTGTGGATATAAGATTCACATTTTCATAATGAATTTCACAGAGGAAAAGTTAGGTGGAGATAAACATGACACACACACAACCCTCCCATCTCACTCCCCCATAAATATTTACAAAATGTGGACTTCCCTTGTGTAATTTTTTTTTCCCTTAAGTGTTTCTGAGCTCCATTATTAGAGCTCTGTAGTTAGTATGCAGGTTAAAATTAGAAGGGAAAAATATGGTTCACTAAGGAGATTCACATACCTTCACA